GGGGGGGGGGGGGGGGGGGGGGGGGCACTCATAGCCGTGCATGCCGTACTCGTTAGACCATTGACCTTGCATCCGGGACGGAGCACGCCGGGTTTTCACCGGGCCAGGCTAGCACATCAGCAAGCACTTGGCGCGGGGGGAGGGGAGGCACAATTATTCTTCGTTGCTGCGGGTGGTCCTCCTTTCCCGCGACCGGATTACCCGTGTACGTTGCCGTGCACCCTTAAGTCGTTTCCACGGTTCTATTTACAACGCAATTTCACTCACGCGTGGAGATGAGGTGTCGGGTCCTCCCAGCTCTGGGTGGGAGAGCAGTAGTGTCTTTTTCGCGGGCAGAGTCAAGCAGGGTCCGGCCGATTTGGAGACACCAGAGAGGAGAAGGAGGTGGGAGAAGGCCCTGCTCGCCGTAAACACACAGGATGGCATTCGCTTCTTACCTCCGGGTAGTCTTCTTGGGCGCGCCCCACGGTGCCTGCAGTCGTGTGTCATATTGGGAGGGTGTCTGCCTGCCCGATTTGCCCGCCGTTATAGCGGATTTCCTTTCTAATTCAAATAGGTAGTGTTTAACAACTTGGTCGGTCTAACTGTGCCAAGATGTTTCACCCGCCCTTCAGCGGGCTCCTGCCCTAAGACGACCCACGAGTCTGTCCGTAAGCGACCGGGAACATGATGAATTTGGCTCGACACGGCTTGGGTCCCCTCGAGCGAGAAGAACACCGACACCGGCTGCATGCCGATGTTTACCTCGCCATGTTTAACGTCCGCCGGTCGGGTGTAGGCATCGCTTCTGAGATAACGCCATCGGTCACAGAAGACAATTGCTTCCCCAAACCCCTTAAGGCTCGAGAAGAGTCCTTGGCCATCGCCCTACCGCCTTATCTCAGCGAATCGATGGAAGAGCATAACACACGACCCCCACCCCCCCCCGCCCCCCGTTGCGGTGCCCCCCTTTGTCCAGGTCCGTGCAACCCTTCCCAACCGACCGACGGGCGCAACCCTGCCATCGCTTCCCCCGGGCACCGAACTCCCGGAGTCTTTGGTGTCCGATCTGTCGGGCCTCCCGCCCAGGATGTCAGCGTCCGTGTTCGGTTGCTGTCTCGGATGGGCCGTGGAGTGGGGCACTTGTTTCTCCAAGGTTCCCCCGGTGGGTGGCAGGCGTGCGTGCGCCGGGCGCGGGGGTAGTCATAATCGTGCATGCCGTAGTCGTTAGACCTTTGACCTCGCATCCCTGAAGAAAATGGGGACGGAGCACGTCGGGTTCTCACGGGACGGGCTGTGACATCACGTTACCAAGGGGAGGGGGGGATGCCAAAATTGTCGCCTTCTTCCGTTCGCCTTCGCGATGATACTAGTCTTGGCTTTAGTAGGGGGTACACGCTAGGGATATGCATACGAATCTCCCGTCTCGATATCATTGATTAATAGTAACCTCCTCGTCAAGACGGTCCTCTTGTTCACAAGAAAATTGCGGCAAGATAAACCCGAGATTCGTGCCCAGCTGTATCGCGGTCGTATAGGTCACAAGATAACACACGGTCAAATCGATATTTACCCGCACACAATACCACACCCGGTGGTCAGTATTTTGAGGGATCAACATGAGCCCCAAGCATCAGGTACCACACCCACACCCCTCGATAACACACCCAGTGATACCTGTTTTAGATGCAAAAATGCGATATTATTGGATATACTACGCTTCTGTACCGCAAGAGTCAATAGGTGTTTTGCTTTGGGGGCGCCGCAAGTGGATCTACCGACGACCCCTCCCCCCCCACCGAGTACACCCTATCCCATCGCAGTATTTGGCCGACGCCGCAAGTGCATCTTCTGATGACCAGTGTCCCTCCCCACCCTCCCCACACACACCTATCCTATCCTATCCTATCCCCCCGTCCGGCTCCATGCTCTCGGAAACATGCCTATCTGGCAGGTGCCGGTGCCTCGCCGCAAGTGCAGGGTGCCCACGTCTCTCGGCTGGCCGTCACCCGGGACGCAAACCAGCGCCACCGGCGGTAGCACGGCCGGTGTTGGGGCTGTCGGAAGCAGCACGGCGAGGAAGAGGGCCAGCAGCAGCGATGCGACCGTGTTCTCCAGGCTGAGGAGAGAAGCGGAGGGCTCCTCGTCTTCCCGCGCGGTTGTCGTGTCTAGTGATGATAACAGCGGCGGCGGCGGTGGCGGCGGTGGGCAGACCCCCGCGGTGATCGTCCAACCGCCGTGCGACAGCTTCGCGGATCTGGTACGGAAGAAAAAGTGTGCTGAGAACGTCACGGATTGGGCGGCCAACCAATAGGATTGGCCCGCCGTTCCTTGACAAAGGACGACCTGAATACCTGTTTTTTACGATTCCGAGTCCTCTCTTGTGCGTGCGCTTGGCTATGCGGCTTTTTTGTGTTCGGCAGGGCGCGTGGGCCAATGTCGATGTTTTCGTTTCCGTCTGCTACCTCCTGTGGCCCCCGAACATCTTTCCATCCGCAGCCTCATCGCTGTGTATGGTCGGAAGTATTTCGAAGGTTATTTTTGCAGCGGCCGTGGTTTTCTCGACTGTTTTTTCCTCCCCATGCACGACAGACCGCTCTCGATGTATGCTGATTATGTAGCTGCCACGAAAGGCGCGGAGTGCTCCGTGCTGCTTGCTTCGCCCGAAGTGATTTTCTGCCTGGCAGCTACTCGACGCTGCGTGTGGCACTTCGACGGGCGGGAGCAAACTTACGTCTTGGGATGAGATTCTCGGCACAACATCTTGGCTTTACCGACCGGTTGACTTGAGATATAGGTACATTTTTTGGGTGTACGAAATCTCTCAATACATGCCACTGACCCCGAAGAACAAGCCACCAAGCAATATCATCGACACGTGCAGGTGCGAGGGTTCCGCTTGGGGCCGGTGTTTCTTGCGGAGATGGACGCTTCTGCGTACAACACGGCTCCTGCAGACCCGCACAAGCGCGGGGTGCGGCTGTCTATCCGCGGTGGCGTCGCCGCCAGCCTTTGCTTCTCGGTGGAGAAGTCCGGAGCTATCAACCCCTTCACCACGGGCAGGTATGCGCACTGCTTGCTGTGTGATGAGTCTGTTTGTCTTTTTCGCGCGCTCTCCGGAACTCCGCCTTGCGAAGGCCCTTGTGACAAACCGAAGGCCTCTTCTCTGCCCATTGCTTCTAGGCAACCGCAGTCCTGGGTCCTTTCATAATTTGTTTTTGGGGTAGGCGTTGCCCTATGGCCACGAAAGGCGTCCGCGTCGTTTGGACCGGTACGGAAGCTGAAAGGGACTGGACAGAGTCCGGGACGTAGTGCAAGACAATAACCACAACAAGAACAACAAACGGCGAGGCAGAAGACGTAGAATTTGTGGTAGACATGTATCACGAGGGTGTGCCACCCCGTCGGCTACGAGCACCGCAACAAGGTAAACCGGTCGGTTCTTTTGCGGCGGCTCGCCTTTGTTGCTCTGGCCCCTCAATATCTCCTACTTTGCAACCCTTCGACGGTTAATAAATTGCTTGTCTCCGCCGCCACCACCGTGACCCCGTGCAACCGGTGAACCGACCAACGGCGATCGTCATCACACCCGCCCGCGCGGTCCATCAGGGTCGTCATCCCGACCACCAGCCTGGTGGTCACCACCGTCCACGGACTGAGGCTAAGGGCCGGGAAGATCGAGGCCCGCGTGTGCGATCGGGACGCGGGGAGCCGCGGCAGCCTCCTCCTGAGACTTAGACGAGTCGCGCTCGCGCAGGGCAGCGGGGACGTCGCGACGAGGACCCCGCCGCCAAGAGCGAGCGGCGGCACCAGAGGGCAGCAGCAGCAGCAGCAGCAGCAGCAGCAGCAGCACGGTTTCGGCTCCCGGTCAACTAACGCTAGATCGCCTGCGGCGCGGGCGGGGTCTAAAGCCTTCGTCGTTGCCGATGGGGGTGAAGGTATGGAAGCGGATGTGGCTAGGTCGGAAGAGGGACATACGAGTCTACCGGTGGGTGAGGCCGGTGCTGCCGCTGCTTCGACGACGGCGGATGGTGCTGGTTTAGATGGAAACGAAGCTGATTGGTCGACGACCGCCGGCGGTAGTGCTGCTTCCGACTCTGGGGGAGCGGGGCGTGTCGAGATCAGCGACGGTTCGAGCAGCGGTAGCGATAGCGAGGTCGATGTCAGCGACTGCGATGACGACGACGACGACGACGACACCGACGTCGGTTTCATGGACGGCGCCTTCGCCGACAACGATTCCTTCTACGCAGGAGGCGGCGGACTGCAGTCTTCGTCGCTCCAGGCCCACGCACACGCCGCCGCCGCCGCCGGGTTGTCCTCCTTTGACACCGACGGGATCGACCTCGCCGTTGGCTACGCCGACACCGCTGCGGCGATCGACAGTCGCAGCGGCAACCCTGCCGCCGCCGCCGCCGCCACCACCCCCGCCGCCGCGGGCGGCGATGACCACCGGGGGGGTCCCAAGAAGCCGCTCGTCAGGGGGAGGTCGGCGAGGAGGTTCTGGGCGTCTCGCGGCGGCGTCCCACCTCGGCTCGAGCTCTTGCCGAGCCATAGCCACGGGCACGACGGGGCGCTCGCCGACGTTGACGAGAGCTCGGCGGACGAGGGGACCGCGGCGGCGGGCCGCCACGACAGCCCCAGCGTACGAAGAAGAAAAAGTGGTGACGCTAGTTCGCCGGGGGTGGAAGAACGCGCGGGTACGCGGGCGAGCGGCGACTGTACCGCCAGCGAGGCCCCCGAGGCGGGGGCGGTGGCGGCTGCCGCCGAGCCTGGCGTGGCAGCAGATATTACTACTGCTGCGGCGGCGGCGGGTGATGACGGGGGAGGAGACCAAGACGGCGACGAAAACGCCTCCGCGGCCGCCCACCGGCAGGTCGGTAGCGGCAGGTGGGACGAGCACTTGCAGGCCGTCACCCGGGCGGCCTGGCTCGGGTCCAAGCAGGCCAGCAGCCGAGGCTTCAACTCGAACGCGTCCTCTGTGTCGGCAGCCTCCACGTCCAACGACCCGACTACTCGAATCGCAGCGGCGGCGGCGGCAGGAGCAGCACAGTTGTCAGCCCGCGGAGCCGGTGGCGCCAACGAGCGGTTCTTCCCGCGCGGCGGCCGCGACTCGTGCCACTCGGCGAGAAGCAGCCGCGACTTGGGTGATAATGACCGTAGGGAGGGGGCTCCGGCGGGAGCGCTGCCGACATCGCCCCCTCGATCTCCACCGCCTGCCGCCGCCGCCTCGCCGGACACTGACCTCGGGGGCGACGGTGTATCGCGCGCAGGGACTCCCGGCGGGTCTTCGCGGCCGGAAGGCGGGAGGGATGGCCGCACGACCAGGGTGGCGGCGGCGGCGGCGGACGAGCGGGTTGCCGGCAGCGGGTTCCTGTACCGAGTGGTGTTCGACGGGCTGAATGTTCTCATCACTCTCAAGCTCAGGTGAGAGCTGAGTGAGGATACGGGGTGGGAAAGGGTCAGGCCTGGTGGATGCCGTAGTCGTTCCCTTTAAGCACGATACGGAGGCGTGCTTTCGGGGATGCCCCGGTGTTCTGGAAGGTTTGGTGTACGCGCAGTGGGTGAGCGGCCGGCTGTTAGTGAAGGGCTTTGCTTGGTGGCGGTGGCTCTTCGTAGCTGCTGGGCAATCGCCATTTCCTGCTTTCGGCGGGGGTGTGGGTTACTCATTGGTGCAGCTTGCGGGAGTCGTCTAGGCTGTGGACCACATGGCGTCATGTTCCAAGACAGTGCAGCGTTGGTTGTAGCTCCTAGCAGAAGTGAGCACCTTCAACGTTGGGCCGCTTTTTTTGCGTGCCTGGGGAGGGCGGGGGGGCTCTGTTGGCAGAGAGAACCATTGATGCCCGTGCGAAGCAGTTATTCCACGAGAGGAGGGCAGCTGTGTCGTGTCGCTCCTGCTTGTGCCAGTGCCTCGACAACCCCGGAACGAAACCGTGTGAAAGCATGACATCATCGTCTCCCCATCTCTTCATGACGGTTGTGCGTTTTGCCATTGCCATGACGACGAAAAGAAAACGTCCCTCCGCCGTTGTCCCTCGATCTCTCGGTGTGGATTGTGTACAGGGACAGCATCCTTCTACTGGTGCAGAGCGGGTTGGAAGTGGCGCTCGCGAACCTCCCCGGGCTTTTCAAGCCGTCCAAAGCCTTGCTGGCTAAGGTATGTAGAGCCATGCCGCCGCACGTTGGAGGTGTGTGTGGCCTGAGGACCAAGCGGAATAGACTACCATGCTGCAAGGATCAAACCGCGTCCGGACCATGAAACCGTACCATGAGTGAAGTGAATGTGCCACCGTGGATGTTTAGCGGACTATTGCCACCGTGAAGGCCACGGAAGATACCCCGATAACCACACCGGATGCAGCCATTGGGAACCTTGGTTACCCCCGCACTCCGCTCACCCCTTGCCATTTATTGTTACTTGTTTGTGTGTTCGCAGGAGCGCGAAGGGGAGGTGCTACCGGGGGAGTTGCGCAGACGAACGTCCTTGGACCTGAAGCAGTTCACCGATAAGGTGGGTCATCCCGGTTGGTTTAGTTTCGGTAGGTTTAGGTCGCTGTCCGCTGCCGATGGCGAAGACGTTGGCCCGGAAACGTGTCCTGTTTTACACACAAGCTAGCGTGGTGCCTTCATCTTCTAGGGAGTATGTGAATATCTGAGGCTGGACCCTAACGTCCTATCTCCCACCCCCCGTACTCTCTGTCAAGGGAATCCACGAACTAGGGAAGCGTGTTCTTTTTTTGGTTTTATCACGCGGTACGACTAGCATGTTTTTTTTTATCCTGCGGTACGACTGGCGTGTTTTCATTGGTCCGCCGCTTTGCGCGGTCGACGCCAGTTGAAAAGAACACACGGCACGCGCGCCCTCCCCGACATGTTTCGTCTGGCTAAGGCGCCACGAGCACCCCTGATGCTGCTGGCGGTGGACCTTTGAGGGGTAGGAAAGATGCCCCGTGCCGCGAAAAGCGTAGTGCGCGGTCAACGACCATAGGACCAGCAAAATAACACGTACCCCCCGCCCCCCCCGCGCAACGGCTACCGTGTAATTTTTGCCAGCCCCTTGCTTTGCCTGGAAGGAAGCGAGACTCTGGATCCCTGGGGTCCGCGACACCTTTCAGCAAGGCCGAGAGGCAGAGCGAAGACAGCGCCTACTCCCTCACGGCCGGTGCGGGGGGAGGTGGGGGCGCGACTCGAGTTGGCGCCGGGGCGCCGGCGTCGCCGTCGATTCGGGGGGGTGAGGGGGGCCCCGCGATGCACAAGCTGTTTTCGATCGAGCTGCGTCGGACGCAGATCCAGGTATGCAGGCACATTCGAGTGTAGAATGAGCACGTATAGCAGTGTGGCTGTTTTTTCGCTGCGACCGTTTTATTGCGAGAAATGCCTCAGTATCGTCAAGTCTTAGTTCGTGATGCGTAGTTGTTGAAGTGTGGCCACGGAAGTGCCGGTTGGATCGGACCAGAACGAACGTGGGAGGCAGAGGTTAGGGGTCAGAACGTGTGCACGCGAAGCCAACAGCAACGCCAGCAGCGACGAAACCACAATAGCCTCAACACCCACCACTGAAAAACGACACCACCGATTCACCCGCACCCCCGCCACTGCCAACATGAACAACAGCACCCACCACACCACAGCGACAATATCAACATCACCCACCACACAAAGACAGCATCACAGTCAATAGCACCCACACTCCCACCACTACCAACAGCAACAACAGCACCAACCTCACCATCACGACCACCCGACACCACCAACATCAACATCACCCCGCACAAACACTACTTCGAAGTGTAATAATTCTCAGCATAACCATCAATGGCACCCACACCAGATAGCTGGGCTGAATTTCCAGTGCACAATTTTCCGAGAGGTGTCAGATACTACACCGACAACAACACCTTGACCACTCTTCGGCGTCTCAATTTTCACCAGCTGCTGGGAAGCGAAACGGCGAGGGCCACCCTGCTGTTCTCCATGGAGCAAGGGGTCATACAGGGGTGGGTGGGCTTGGACCCCGTCGAGGAAGGTGTCGTCGCCGCAAGGCTCAAGCAGGTCAGTCAGCCGGGCGTACAACGAACGAGCTTCACCGGGGGTAGGACACACGTAGACAGCACAAGGGGGCAGTGTTCAATTGCAGCTGAGACGAAGAAACGGACCACAGCACGCGAGCCTGCCACCCTAGGCACCGCAGCGGCGTCTCCGGTTCGATTTGTTCTTCTTGGGCGATATTTTGGTGTGGTGGTGGTGGTGCCGCAGTCGACGGGGGCCTACATAGTCTCAGTTCGTTTGAGTAGCACAGACGAAAACCAATCTAGAAGTACCTATGCGATCTGCATGTCACACCTTGACATCAGTTCGTTTGAGTAGCACAGACGAAAACCAATCTAGGAAGTACCTATGCGATCTGCTTTTCACTCCTTGACATCGACGAAAAGTCTACCATTTAGAAGGCGCGCAGTCTGCAGATCGCCACGTTTACGGTCGACGAACCTCAGCCGCAGAGTCCGTTTCTTTTTCGTGCCCCTGCAGGGAGATGTGGCCGAGAGCTACAGGCTGCAGTGCCTGGCGCAGCGGCTTCTCACCACCTTCAGGGAGGCGGTCACCGTGGGCCTTGAGGGGACCATGCTCTCCGCCGCACCCACAGGTACGCCACAGGACGATGTGGAGGCTATTCGACACTCGACATAGATTTAAAGCTGTAGCCACACCGTTGTGCGTTGGTGTGTTGAGGGGGAAGAGGCGATTGCACCTGTTTTGGAATAGATGTCAATATCTGAATTTTCATGTGTGAAGATTTTGCGGAATTGGCCGAGGCCCCAAGAGCGTGAGACCATGCAGGCCAGTGTTTGTGAAAAACTGTTATCATCTCTCCATCCGACACCTCCTATTCCGTATTTGTAGTATAACAAGTTGAAAATCCCCATGTCCAGTGCGGGATAGGAACGATCAACTGCCGGCAGACAGTTCACCTATTGAAGAAAATGAAAACTTGCTCTCAACACAAGAGAGGCGAAAATATTTGAAAAACATGACCCCTTGGGAGCATCATGATTCCATCTCGTTGTTGTTATTTGATAGCTCGCCTTCGTTCTCCATGATGTTACCATGCTCTGTCGGCCCACACACCGTCGTGGTTTCGGATCACGATTCTAACCTCCTGACCGCCGCGTGTCCTTGATCCTACGCGACCAGATGTTTTTGAAGATCGTACGTAAAGTAGTTCGATGCGTCGGAAAGCCCACGGCCCGCGCTCCGGTTAACACGCGACCGATTCGACGCGCCGCGTGCTTTATTGCTGTCACGTGGAGTCGCCAGACACCCATATGCGACCGTTACTTCTTGCCAACGAGATCTACGCCCCCCCCCCCCCCCCTTTTTCTTCGGGAGCTCCCCCTCTAGACTTGCGTGATCAAACGACAAATCCCATATCTTTGTCGGAATATTCGTCCGTGATTGAGCCCGTTATCTCGCTCCAACTTGAATTTTCTGCCTCGAAAGATGCTTGTTGTCACCAACGTCATCAAGCAAAGGAAGCAACCACACACACCCCTCCGTCCGCCCGCGCGCGCGCGCTCCGTGTCGCCCCCCCCTGGCACGCTCGCCCCGTCTCGCCAGACGTGGACGTTGATGCCGGTGTGCAGTGGCTGCCGGACTCGGCGTTGGCGCCGCCGCATCTGCCCGCTTCATCCTCTTCGCACGCCCAAGCCTCGAGGCGGCGACGCTCCCGGCCGACGCCGACGCGGCCGCCGTTGCCGCCTAGCGGCGGCGGTACATCATCGGCACCAACAGCGGTGGTGGCGGGCGTAGTGTCGACGTCTTGGGGGGGACTTGAGAAACAGCAGCAGCAGCAGCAGCAGCAGCCGGCGGAGAGACAGGGGGATGGTGTTGCTCGCGGTACGACCGATGGTGCTCAGTTTGGTGGTGGTGGTGGTGGTGGTGGTAGTCGTGATGGTCGTGATGGTGTCCGTGGGGGATCGAGCGTAGGCAATAGAAGCGCCACGAAACCCCAGGAACAGGACGAAGGAGTCGGCAGCGGGGACGATGGCAGCGTTGCCGCTACCGTTGCCGCTGCCCGCTTGCCTCCCTCGGCCGTGTCTACCCACCCAGCCCCTGCCCTCGCTCCCAGCGGAGGAGAAGAAGAGAACACGCCTCGCCAGACGCACCTGCGGCGGTCGGCGGCGACCAAGACCACCACCGCCGCCGGCGATCCGTTCTTTGGCAGCGGCGAGTGGGCCGCCGGGGGGTTTCCGGACCACCCATCGCCGTCGGCGACGGCAGGCGCGCCTGAAGGTCCCGCGAATGTTTAAATCACCGGCGGAGGCGGCGG